ATTCTTGCTTTTTCTAGTTACAAGACAATAAATGTCAGTGTTTATGAGGGCTGATAAGATTCTGAATTCTATTCTGCTCTCATTGTTCCTGCTGAGAAATGATTGCCTATTTTAAAACCACCCAAATAGAGACTGATTGCTATTATGAACAAAGACTATTCATAGAAATAACCTTCCTTTTCAGCGTCATGGGTAGCAATGGTGATGAAAAGTCATGTACTATACTGTAAGTCAGTCTGGAAGCACACCCTAGTCACAGGCACTGAATGTTTTACTTCCTTGCTTGTTCATCATTTAACCACTTAACCTATCAGCCATTCAACTCTGTCTCTTTTTCCAGAAGTAGCTATTTGATGTTTCCAGGCAAAACACATCTTCTTTCGCTTGCTATTCATTAGTGTCCATCAAAATATATCTTTTTATATTAAAAAAAATAAGGATGTGCTGTATAGAATGCCAGAAACAGGCTGTTTTCCTTGGTAATTGACAAATGATATCAATGGGTCTTTCCAGAGGTGAACCTCGTGTCTTTTAAAAGACAAATGATTCATCTGATAAGATAACAAATTGATTGGTTTTTTTGGGGGAAGATCAGCAGAGAATTTCTTTTTCTCAGATGGAGAATTTAGAAAATGTTGTGAAAGGATATGAAAAAGAAGGAAAGAAAGAAATCTAGTTTAATTCAAGTGAATTCCAGTCAGAAACGTGGATATATAATATTGGAATATCTTCAAAGAAGATCTCTTCCTTGGCTGACATGTATTTGAGATAAGTGGTATTACTTTGGTGAGGAAATTAGTTTTAGACAGTATTTAGAATCTTGTTGAGGGTTAGATAAAAAATGTCAGAGTGATTTTGTTTTATGAAAAAAATCACATCTTTATAATAATGTAAACTTTCTTTGTAATAATGTAAAACTCACTTCTTTCTGTTTATATAAGAAGTCAAATTGATAATACATACCAATATTCTTTTATTATTACAGAACAATATTTGAGACAAGGGCAAAAGGAACATTTTATCAACTGGATGCTCAATTTTATAAACAGTTAACATTAGACTTTGTTTTTTGGCAAGCTGAAGATCTTTGCTCTGTATGCTCAAGAGTACGGAGGCTCTAAGTTAACAAGTTTTGAGTAAGCCTGGGTTCAATAAGGCAAGAACAGGGTGAAATGGTAAGAAGACACTGTACTTTAGCCACAGAAAAAACAGAATCTATACGGTTTTAATTCCTTTATGTGCATAATGGAGATGGTGTGATAATTAACTTTATGTGTCAACTTGATTGGGCCACAGGATGCAAACATTATACTAGATGTGAAAGCATTTTGGATAGGATGAACATTTAAATCAGTAGCATGAGTAAAGCAGGGTGTCTTTCTTAATGTGCATCTCATTTAGTCAGTTGGAGGACCTGTATTGAACAAGGAGGCTGATCTCCTGAGAGTAAGAGGAGAGTCCTTCTGCTCTTTTTAAGCTTGGATACTTGCTTTTTCTTGTCTTCAGACAGAAAACTGAACCACTGATTTGTTTTGAGTCTTGGGTCTGCCAGCTTCTGGACTGGAACTTATACCTTTGGCTCCTTTGGTTCTCAGACTGGAGTTGGAAAAACACTATTGGTTCTCTTGAGTCTACAGTTTGGTGATTATAGATTTTAGGAATTTTCAGCCTCCATAATGTCCTTAGCCATTTCTTAATGATAAGAATTTGTATATGTGTATATCCTATCAGTTCTGCTTCTCAGGAGAACCTTGACTGATATAAATGGTAACCTTTATGCTTATATTCCTCATGGTCTCTACCCCTGTGCATTTTCTGAGCATAACAGAAACTATAGATGTAATCAACAATATCACACTGCAGTTTTCACACAGAGACAGCAAAATTCCCAATCTGCATTCTCCCCACTACTTGTTGATCAGCCCAGACACATTAATCCCTATTCAGCCCAGGGCTTAGGCCACAGGATAAGGTAAATGCACTTAGAATAAGAAACCTACTTTTAAATTTTGTTTATTAATAACCTAACTTTTTCCAAATTTAAAATAATTGAGGTGAAAACTAGTCAGTCACATATCTATATTTAGTGCCTACAATCAATCAAATCCTTAATGCTTTTTCTAGGAGAAAAAGCTTTTTAAAACTTAACCTTGCTTAAAGTTGAAGATGCTGATTTTTAATAACTAAATGTACCAAAATGAGCTTTACTCATTGAGGGAACTATGAAATGGTATTTTCAATAGACAATTATTTTATCATTGATCTTATGTAATCATATATAAAATTATGCTGTTTAGGATTCTATGTGTGGTAGCATTGTTGCCCATGTGGTTAAAACAGAAAGTTTTGATAAGTCTTACGTGGTCCTGGAAGATTAAGATTTCCATTAACTTTAGTCAAAGGTGACACTAGAACTTGCTCGTTTGAAGCTGTTCTTTCAATGCTTGTGGTTTTCACTGGTCCTCAGAAAAGTTGCAGAAAGTCTTCCTGTAGCAAAGCAAGAGCTTTCAGCTAACTTGGGCCTACTTAGCTCATCAATAATTCTCTAGCAGCACCACTATCTATGTTGCAGAAAATGTTGTCAGGAAAATATCAAAAAAATGATCTGGATGCAAACAATTTTGCCAGCTCAGGAAAATGATAGTGATGCAAAGCCAAGAAGAGAATAAGGAATTAAGACTGACTTGACTTATTTATTTACTTATTTTTGTGGTGTTGGGGATGGAACCAAGGGCCTCACACATGCCAGGCAAATGCTCTACCACTAAGCTACATCCCTATCCCAAACAGAGACTTTAGAGCCTAAGTTTGTTTCCTCATTCTCTTTATAATGTGCCACCTGCCACCCTTGCTCTTACCAAGGATTCCAAGCTGGAATGGAAAGGCTTGGGTGCCACTCATGTTTTGCTATCTCCTCTTGTAGACACTATACAATCTTGAAAATTTAGAAGTTCCAGAGAGATAAATCCAGTAGGTTGAGATTTACCCATTAGTTCATTTGATCAGTAGTTTTTTTAAGTTTATCATGTACCAGGTACAGAAGTAGGCAATGGGGATACCAGTCATCAATAATACAGATACCGTGGCCCCTGTCATAAAGAAGCACACAACCAAGAGGTGAGACCTATGGACTTTAATCAGAGAATCATATGAATTGCAACAGGAATATACACCATGCAAAAGATCTTATTACAGGGGCATATGACCTAGTTACAAAGAGCATGAAAGGCCTTTCAAAGGAGGGAATGGTCAGAATTCAATCTGAAGAGTTGATGTCAGCAGGGAATGTGATGAGTATAAGAGACTGAAATATATGCAGGAGAGGTGTGGCTACAAAAGGAAAATGGGTAGTAAGGAGATGTGTTGGGAGATGGCAAAGGAAAAACAGGGAGGAGATAGACCAGGCAGATTCTCAGAGGACATATTAAGGAGTTTCATAGTATTGAACTGTACTGTTTGACCTACTTTCTGGGCAATTGAAAACTTTCAATATTTTTTACATTTTCAGAAAAGCAAAAGTACTCTAGTAGGAATAAATATGGGTTAAGAGGAATATATCTCCCAAAATATTAGTTATGGATTCAACTTCAGTTCCTTCAAAGCCTATTACTACTACTTATTGCAAAAATTTATATGTATTAAAATAAATGCTAGAAAGAGAGATTAATTCAGAAGGTTAAACTATTGGTTAAAGGGGAGTATATTGGCAAGAGAGAAGAAAAAGTTCCACTCAGGAATTCTAGTCTTCTGCAGTCTAATCTTATCTGAGCTAACCCTATTACTATAGGCAAACTAATTAACCTCTCTGTGCCTTGGTTGCTTATCTGTGGAGGGAAGATAATGATGACCTACTAATAGGAGAGCAAAGCATTCTGCAAGCACCAATAATTATATAAATAACATAAATAATTACTTATCCTGTTGTAAGATTCTAGTCCTCACCTCAGAGTTTAAACATCTTCTCTTTGCCTAAATGATACATCAGGCTTTATTTTTGTCAGATAGCACGATAGCATTGTGTATGTATGTGTTAAGAGAGAGCTTGTGTTTATTTTCATATATAGCCAAATTTGTGTTCATTGAAAATGCGCTCTCTCTTACAGATGCCTATTGTTCAATCAGCAATACCCTGGATCCTAGGTAATCACATTAATTCGTACTGACAGCAGATGGTTTAAAAGAGTAAAGAGCTGCCGAGAGAGAAGGAGGGGTAGAGTGGGGTGGAGTGGAAGAATAGTTACTTTTACCTGTTTTTTGAAAGGCTAACTCCTCTTGCCTGCTAAAGATGAAGAATATTTCCTTATTATTTCATAAGTCCATTGTAATTATATCAAATATAATGAAGCAATTCAAATTGGATCAGCAGGCCCATAACGTCTTACCAAGAAGATGAAGAGACTCCTACTTGGATTTTATTGTGGATTCACATTTAAATTGGCACCTCTTTTGTGATATTCCCAATAATTTTATGGGAAGTATTTATAAAACTTTGTTCTTTCAGTGGCATAAAAAATTGCCCACTTCTGTAGTAACCTTTGGTTTTTATGCCACACTTTCTTTGGTTGATGGGAAGAAATCATAATCTTCTGGAACAATAAAATATTTACAGAATTGAAATAGCCATTTCTTTGTGAACTTGGGGAAATTTTTCTTTAATTATTTCCTTTTAAAATGTATGCCTAATACATATGTGGGCTGTTTCTATGATGATACAGTGACTCACACATGTTACTGCAATGTTTCTGTGGGGGTGATTTGGCCTACAGCCGTGTGCCTGTGTAGAGCTCTTGGTTAGTGGCCATGCCTGGCTGTTAAGGCGAAATGAATTGGACCTGAACCTACCTTTTAGTTCGTGCCCATTGCTTTGCCTTATGTGACTGTTGTGGTTTTCTTGCTCTTTTGTTCAACTAAAGAGGAATTAGGTGTTAGAATTATTTTTGTGTGTGTGCAGGACCCAGCACTATCTCCAACATGCATCACATGTTTTATTAAATTCTCACCTGATTGCTTCTTCATTCTCAGTCCCCATTTCCTTCTGCTCTGATTTTGTTCTGGATGATTCCATTGGACTTTGAGGGTCAGGCTTTGTGGTCAAATCTCTGGAGGAATTTTTCTCGGAGTCTTTATCTATGGCAAAGAAGTAGTATATAGATAGGAGAATACACACCACTCTTGTCACAGTTATATTTGACAACACAAACTATGGAGATTCTGTTTGTCTTCTGGAATAGTCTTCAAGGAAGGCCTCCCCAAGGATTCCTGCTAAGCCAGGACCTTGTGCAGAAGGAGTTAACCTGTAGACCTTCAGACCAATAAAAAGTACACTTAAAATTGGTATGTCATGTAATAGAAATTTTACATGGTATATATTTCTTTTTGATATTAGCAAAGCTGAACATGAGCATTCATCCAGAAGGTATTTTTGGTTTTGCTAAATATTCATAATTTATTACTAAAGTTGATGCATCATAAAATCTGCAAAGCAAAATGGGCAGAAATGATATCATTATTTTAGAATTTGCATTCTAATTTTTATGAGATCAAATCTTTGATTTTGATTTGATCATCTTTAGCTATGACACCCTTTCTGAAGAAGTGACACAGACTAGCACATACTAGCTTTATTTTCATTCAGAAATTAAATTTTTCCTATCAAATCTACAAGTACCATTTTCAATTAATATAGCTTAAATTGTAATTTACCTAGAGAAGAATCAAATCACTGGTAAATATTTGGATTAGAGAGAAGTCTTTAATAAAAGTAAATTACTTAAGATTAAAAGAAAATATAGACGGTAAAAGGAAGAAAGAATACAATTTACTGATTATTCATTAGCCAGTTTCTAATTTATTTTTAATTGGATGTACTGTACTTAGAAAATTGAAACCAAGGCATGAATCATCAATCTTATTGTATTATAATATTACAGTTTTAAAATTTAAGAAAACGCAATATTGACAATTTGGATTTGCAAAAAAAAATGTTCAATCAGTACATGATCACTTTACAAGTTTTCATCATAAAAACCCTTTAGTATAAAATGTTCAGTGATCCATCTAAATATTTCAATGTACTATTCCAGGAATATGTTTCAGGGATAAAAGGAATCGTAAAATTCAGTCACTACTTATAATTTTAAACACCTTATGAACAGTAGAACACAAACCCCTGGATATCTTAGGGATACTCTATTTTTATTTTGAAATTACAGTATTTTGGGCTAGGAGATAGAAAACATCACTAAATATGTTTCATTATTGTTCGAGAAAAATTCTCCAAAATCCCAAATCTTTTGAGGGACTAAGGAGCCTCTCCATAATCACCTCTTTAAAGTCTGTGTGTAAGGATCACATTTCAGGTGAAATGCTGCCATGTGTATGACAATCATACGAGAGGGTTCTTTTTATATAGACATGTGGTGCGATAATGAGTATTATCAGTATGCAGTATCTTTCAGAGTAAAAAACTAACGCCTCACTATGTTGTTTGGTAGAACAAAGGTATTTAACAGAAATATAAGAAAGAGTCTATGTTCCCTATGTGTTTGGGTTTTGCCATATTATTTTTTTGTTTTTCTTTTCCCAACAGGTAAAATTAGTCATTTTTCATATCTGTGATGTGATACCATGCTATACTGCTAATCCTCTCCTTTCTCAGTATCCACAAATACTCAGACAATTACTGTTGGATATTTCAAAGCAAAATTCTTAATGCCTGGATACAGATGTTTAGTGCATTTATAGACTGGAACCCTGGAGACTGTATATTGCATACACATTTTTTTTTAACATAAAGATCTAGAGTTAATATGGATGCCTCAAAGAATTCTGAACCAAAAACTCATGATGAACTATTGTGTTCATATATTTTTGTAGAAACAACTAGCCCTAAAAGAAATTTGGGATTAAAATAGATCATGACATATGAGTTAACAAATCAGAAAAATTTTAAATTTAAAATAAGGAGTATCTATAAAACAATGTTTCTTATAAGGTTTTATTGACTTTCTTATAAAACCACATGAGAAAAGCTGCATCCCATTCCTTCATTGTTCATTCAAACTACAGGATGTGCATTACATTTGCAATATATTTTTCTGCAGTACCAGTGAAATAACTGACTATTCTGCAAAAAGTTCTTTTCTTCCATTTTTTTAATAAATTTTAGTTTATCATCATATATTTGGATTGAATTAACTCTATGTAGATCCAAGCCCTTACTCAGTCTTGCAGAGACATTCTAAGCCCTGCTAAAATGACACTGCCTCTATTGTGACAGGTCTTGGGTATTTAGGAATTAATTACAGTCTATTTTGATTTGTGGATTAGGTGTTAATTACAAAATGAATACTTAATACCTCGTTGATTACGATGAGGAACTAGTTATGGCTTATTCTTGGGATCACAGTAGAACCAAAACTTCAAAAAACCCAAGAGGACTTTAAAATAAAAGGATCCCCATCAACTGTAGTTCAGTGTGGGTGTCTTTTTATCCACACAGCATGTTATTTGAGGGAACAGATGGTCAGAGTGTTTGCATCATCCTCATGATAGAGAAATCTAAAATACGAGGCAAAATCTTGCTTTGGCATTTGGGTGAAGTTTTGTCAACCACACATTGTACTTCCTAGCTTCACACATGGACAGCAGGATTCCCTCTTTTGTAGCCACCAAATGAATAGTTTCTTTCTGCCAGTCGTGTTCTTTGCATGTTGTATAGCAATTGCCAGATCTCATCAGTACCTTTGGTCCAATTCTGCCCTGGAACGTGTGCCCATGGCAGACAGTGAAAACTGGGATCAAAGGGTCCTGAGATGGGTGCTTTGACTGAATGTGCAGAAATGAATTCAATTGAGTTTGCCCTTCACACACCTGGCCAAGTCTGTCTCCAGTCTGGCAGCACATCACACTGGGCCTGTGTAATACACTTCCAGTCTGTTTGGCCTCTGGAAGCAACACATCATGGCGACTGCATCAGGTGTGAAACATCTGCTTCCCTCTTCAAGAGAGGAAATAAGTGATGTGGAAACACATTGACCTTCCACATTTTATCAGGGGCATTAAATAAATGTTGGAAAAGGGTTGATCAAGGAAAGAACCTAATACGGAATAAGGCTGTGAAAGAGAAAAGTGCTTAACTGGTTTTTTTTTTTTTGGATGCATGTGAAAAGGAGAAAACTAAAGACTTTCATTGGTAGGAATGTGTGTTCTGGGAGATGGTATCATTTCTAATCCCTCAATCATCAAATGCATTGTAGTTCCCCGTTTCAAAAATAAATCTTCTTTCATTAAGAACCATCAGTGCTTGAGTAATTAAATGTTGGATGAATTAATAGAGACTGAGTCTTAACACTTTTATTAGATACATAAATGATAATATCATTTGTATCTTAATGAATGAATATTGGGAGTTAATGTAATGAATAACACAGTTTTAACAACTAGATAACTAGTAATTATTTTCAGGTACCAAGACAATAGTTTTTATTCGGCTTGTGGTTAACTTCAGAATTGCTAGATATATAATATCCTTAGAATAATTTTACTTTTAATACCTTGACCACACTTAAAATTATATATCTGTAGATTGTCAACTGTCATGGAGGAAGTTAACAACACAACAACACACATGAAATGGAATGTGAAGAGTGCCCTAAAATGTCATTCACAAGGACAAAAAAAGGAGTATTTTATATAAAGAAATGTGTAATCTATTAAAAAATCCAGAGGAGGGACTCAGAGTAGATGAGATTTCTGGAAACCAACCCATCTGAGGAATGGCTTAAGGAACTTAAGTTCTTTAGTTAAGGTACTGACGATGTGCTAGTGACATAAGAGTCATTTCAAATTCTTTGAAGGCTGTAACATAGAAAAGACAATAGATTTATTTTTTTACATTGTAGTAGGCAGAAGGAAGACCTATCAGTGGAATTTATAAAACAAACAATAATCCTGCAAAACATTGTAACAACCGGTCTGACAACAAAACACATGGCTTTGTGGACTGGAGCTATTCAGGAAGAAGCTAGAACCTGCGCTGAGAGAGGCAGGATGGGATCAGAACTTAGGTGGCCTTTAAAGTACTATAAAGCCTCAAAGGGATATTTAGGATGGTTTTGGACTTTAGGACACATCATTTCAAAGTAAAGAAATGAACAAATCAATAAACAAAAAAGAATAGGTAGCCTGGGTACCATGGGAGGATCAAGGGATCCTGTCCTTTGTCAATGTCATGGTTGGTTTCAGGGACGTTTTAAATTGAGATTAGTTCATATAGAAAACACATTTTATGTACAGATATTAAGGAATGTGGGGAGTTACCAATGCTGGATACTGAATAGGGAGCTCTAATCCTTACATCACTAATTCTCTGGGTGACTCTGGGCAAGTCGCTTTTTTATAGCAGTTTCCTCATCCATAAAATGAGAAACACTTTTGTCATGGGGATTTCTGTGAGGATTAGATAAAGACTCCATTCGAGAAAAATGCAATATAAACACAAAGTGTTCCACCAGCCAGCCAGACTGGCAGACTGGGTAAATTGTCCCCTCTCTTCTTTTTAAAGAATATATTAACTCTTTCAGGGATGCAAAGTACTATTGTATGAGGGGCATGCAAGAGCTTCCATTTACTTAAGAGAGTTCCAGGGACCAGGAAAACATATGTAATTTCCCACAAATCAGTGTTATTCTTATCAGAAAGAAGCCTAAAAGCACAGTTTAATTGAATTATGCAAATATATTTAAATCTTGCAAATTACAAAAACATAGCACTTATATTTTCTTTTTAAAAAGAAAAAACCCATAGCCCATCCATGTTTGTTGGACTCTCTCTCCTAAGGTTTTAGTGTATAAAAAGGTAATAATAGGGGGCTGGGGTTGTGGCTCAGTGGTAGAGTGCTTGCCTAGCATGTGTGAGACACTGGGTTTGATCCTCAGCATCACACTAAAAATAAACAGAATAACGGTATTGTGTCCATCTACAACTAAAAATATGTAAAGAAAAACACAGTAATAATAGTAATTTCATCAGTCAATCTGGTCTTCTATTAGGTATTTAAACTGGGATAGGTTTTCTATGTCTAGCTTCTCCTTTTAGCTGGTGAAGCTCTCTGCTTCTCCCTCATC